TTTTTTTTTTTTTTTTTTTTTTTTTTTTTTTTTAGTAATTTGTACTAATACTTACTTTCGGTGCGTAATGAGTACATTTTGCTTGAGGAGTTGGTATATGACACATCTTAACTCTTTTTTTGTCCCCCTTCCTCCCTCCCTGCCCCCTCGGGTCTCTAGATTCCATTTCCATCTGCAATTGATCTACCTTGCCAGCCTGAACTACAGCAAGGCCCTGTCTCAAAAAACCAAAATGTTTATTAAGTAATCTCAAAACATTGGTGTTGTAGCTACCAGAAGTTGTTTTGGAAGATCATTTAAGTCCACATTTTTTGAGGACTAGTAAACATCTCACCCCTCCCTGTGACAGCCAGTAGAGCATCCAAGGGCCAAGAGAGCTCCAGATTGTCCCCTTGGTGGCTCCCTGCTGTTGTACCGAGCCAGTGAGAGAACACCAAGTACCGGGACACACATAAAACTGAAGGAAGTCTATTACACACGTGCGGACTCCACTCTCTCAGAGAAGTGAAGCCCCCTTACAGCACAGTGCATAGGTTTTATAGTTCTTTTTCAAGCAAAGAAGTTCAAACATAGGTCAGGGTATTCACACAGCTACAAGGGGGTAAGGTTCCAAACACACTGTTTATTTTATGGAGACAGTGTTTTATGGTCACCTTCTGTCATTCGTTTGCCCTTGGGTGGGCTGTTAACCAAGTTAGCAATTAGCTTTTCCTGATGTTTGATAAGAAGAGGGGGAAGCAACAGTTTAGCTCAGTCAGGTCTCACACCCACATCATCTAGTTGTCAGAACCTTAAGGGCTCAGAGTAAAATAAAACCAAACCAAATCATGCTGCCTTGGCACCCGCTAAAACGGAGCACAGGGTCAAAAGTACAGGGGGACAGCAAGGAAAGAAAATCTTCCCTCTCCTCACCAGTCCTCAGAGCCACCTGGGAGGAAACCACTGCTTTCCACCTCTCCATTTAGCTCTGGCTTCTCCTGCGCTGAACTTCTTTGTCGCCTTTGGGGAGTAACTGTTATCCCCAGCTATGAAAATCGAAGTGAGGAATCGAGCGCACGAGTCTGGCACTCGGCTTCTTTCTCTCCATACCTCGCCATTCCCATTAGTTACACCTGAATTTTCCTGCCATTTATTTGCACACTCTGTAGATCTAGACCTCTGTTTTATCCTCCAGCACTGGGAAGTTTCTTGGACTCTCGGTGTCCGGCTTGCATCTGTCCTGTGTGTCCCTGGGGGCGGGCGCTGATACACGAGGGCAACATGTAAACCAGTAGCCTGAGGAACGCAGATCACCTTCCTGCTGTGGGTGGCCTTGTCCAATCAAAGCAAGGCCCAAGTAGAACAAGAGGGTTGATCATCTCCTATGGCCCTGGGACTCAGACATCAGTTCTTTTCCCCTGCCTTTATTAAATTTATTAATTTATTTATTTATTTTGAAACAGAGTCTCACTATGTAGTTGAGACTGACCTGGAACTCACTACTGTGCAAATATCATAGTGTGCTTACACAAACTGAATCAGCTACAGTGTTGCTAGGCAAGTAATCTTATTGCATCTCTTTTGTTATGTAGTTCATTGCAACCAAAATATTGTTATGTGGCAAGTGACTAAGACAGATGGACAGATAGACAGATCTTCTGTTGCTTCTTCTCCAGAGAACCCTGATTAAAACATATTATCGGGCCGTGTTTGTATTTGTCCTTAAAAGCAAAGTTTAGAGCTTGCGTTGGAAAATATCGGATAACATTTGCCAGATTGCCTCGCCAATAACTGAAGAAACCTACAAAAGGAAACATACATACATACATATATATATATATATACATATACACAGACATATATATATTGTTAAGGGTTCATAAATATAAATTCAGGGCCTTGTCTACAGATTAGCTCTCAATTTGAAAAGTAATAAATAGTATTTAAAACCCAGTTGCCTTTTTTAACACTCTTATGAATATTCCTTATAGAAACATGTAGAAAGACTGAAGCTGTAGAAAAATAAATGTAATCTTTAGTCACTAAACTTGACCACTTGAATGTTTCAAATAAAGTTCAAAGAGGCATGGTGGCCCACACCTGTAATCCTAGCCCTCCAGAGGGTAAGGCAGCCGACCTGTGCTACATAGTGAGGTCAAGGCCAGCCTGTGTTACATAATGAGACCCTGTGCTTAAAATATAATAATTTTTTAAAAATTTTAATGAATACAGTGAAGAATGAGGGTAAAGGGTTCTTGCTGAATGTGTTTGATCCTCTTTTAAGAGCTTTCCTAGAAGCCCAATGATTTCTGCCAAAATCGGCTAATACATAGTCATTTCTAAAGTTCAAAGAGGCATGGTGGCCCACACCTGTAATCCTAGCCCTCCAGAGGGTAAGGCAGCCGGCCTGTGCTACATAGTGAGGTCAAGGCCAGCCTGTGCTACATAATGAGACCCTGTGCTTAAAATATAATAATTTTTAAAAAATTTAATGAATACAGTGAAGAATGAGGGTAAAGGGTTCTTGCTGAATGTGTTTGATCCTCTTTTAAGAGCCTTCCTAGAAGCCCAATGACTTTTGCCAAAATCGGCTAATACATAGTCATTTCCACTGCAAGGGAGTCTGGGATGTGTAGTCTACAGCTGGGTACATGATGCTTTTTGTAAAAGTGTAGTTTTTACTAGGGAAAAAGGGAGAAATGGACGTCTGGCTAGCAACTAACATTTCCTTGCATTTCAGTGCTGGTTCTCCTCTCTCTTTCTCCCTCTTTCTCTCTCTCTCTCTCTCTCTCTCTCTCTCTCTCTCTCTCTTTCTACCCCTTCCTCCCTCCCTCCTGTTTTTTGTTTTGTTTTGTTTTGCACTCACTGTGCAGCCCAGTCTGGCCTCCAACTCTCCACAAGCCTCCTACCTCAACCTCTGGAGTGCAAACTTGCATCACCACACCTGGTATCATGCTAGTTCTTAAAATTCAAAATTCTTGCTCCTCCAGAGCCCTTGGCCTGAGAATTTGAATGTTTAGCAAACTCTCTTCAGTGATCATTTGCAGCCAGCTTGACACCTGTTCACAGACCAGAGACCACTAATCATTTTGTTGAAAAGGTCGGACTTGGAAACCAACAATTAATAAACCATGAGAGGATTTTTCTCATGACTCTTCAACAATTTGGGGTTCACTTGGAACCTGGAAACATTAGGACTCAGGACAACAATTAGCAAGTTAATGAAGACCATGAAAGTGGCGCAGGATCCCGGACAGAGAGCTTTGTGGCTGCTCTGCCATGGTGAATGTGCCTCTTGGAAAGCCATGACTGAGCCTGAGATGCCCAGCAGAGCAGGAAGCAGACGCTGAGGGGCTAGTGAAGCAGTGGGGTTCAGAGCCTGCTGAAGAGGGGTCCCAGAAAACCCCAGCTC